AGTCTTAAGAAGTATTAGAAATGTATGAAAATATCATAATTCCTTTAGAAATATCTCAATATCATCACTTTAAAATTGATTATTGATTACTGATATTGATTATTGATTATTGATTATTGATATTGATTATTGATTATTGTTACTGATTATTGATATTGATTATTGATATAAAACTGACCTGAATGCTGGGATCTTTAAGATGAGACATCAGTGGTCGTTCAAACTCTTCGATTTTCTCCCCTAGATTATGATCCAAGATGCCACGAACTAGTTTATATTGCTGAAGGTCAAGGTGACATACAACGGATGATAATTTACCGGCTACTCTCCAATCGGGGGCCGTATGACTGATATCTCCCTCTAAATTACGTTCTACATCTAATTCTAGTATACACGTCTCTTCTAGCAGACGACCATTCTGTAAATTCAAAATTTAAAAATGATATGAAAAAAAGAAGATCCATTTCAGCAAAACATGTTTGAAAAGTTTTTCTACCTACCTCTTCTTGTACAATACAGGAGGGAAACTCTAAAACTCGTGTCGATTCTTTCTCTTTGTAATATTTTTTATTAACTCGTTTTGCTGTGTATAGATCCATGTCAGTCAGTGTGATTTTCATTATGTCTAGTAAACATTGATACTGAGAGTCTGGAGTGTCAGTAAATACACCTGGTAGTGGCGAGCTTGGTGATTGGTTGGTAGAACCAGGGGGTGGAGTTAATGGGTCAATACTCGTTCCTATTGGTAGACTCTCCTTATCCTGAAAATCAATCAGAAATATTATACCCTAATGTCTTTTTTGGACCAAAATGGTCTAATGAAATATAGTTTTATATCCTACTGTTGGACTAATGAAATGAAATGGAGTTCTATATCCTACTGTTGGACTAATGAAATGAAATGGAGTTTTATATCCTACTGTTGGACTAATGAAATGAAATGAAATGGAGTTTTATATTCTACTGTTGGATTAATGAAATGAAATGGAGTTCTATATCCTACTGTTGGACTAATGAAATGAAATGGAGTTCTATATCCTACTGTTGGATTAATGAAATGAAATGGAGTTCTATATCCTACTGTTGGATTAATGAAATGAAATGGAGTTCTATATCCTACTGTTGGACTAATGAAATGAAATGGAGTTCTATATCCTACTGTTGGACTAATGAAATGAAATGGAGTTCTATATCCTACTGTTGGACTAATGAAATGAACTGTAGTTCTAAATCCTACTGGTCTGTATCTTATTGGACTAATAAGCTTGACAAATCTCAGACCCCAACCCCTACTCACCAATAGAAATGCCATTGATGACTGATCTTTACTAACCTCAAAATATTCTTCATCTTCCCGAGCATCTCTATCTAAACTACCAATAATACTGGCTGACATGGGATCTATCTCTGGTTTAGGAAGATACTGGGAATACATCGACTCATTCATTTCATTAACAACTGGATCTTCTTTCTTTTTCGGAGTTGATGTCGCCACTTTCGCTAATAATTCAGCCATTTTATGTTCTTCTTCTATTCGTCTGAGGAAGGTAATTGTGCCTGGCGTACTGTCGTGTTTAAAACAATTAGTTAATCGTAATTTACCGAGATCAGCCACCAGGATACTGTCTGTTTTAGAGCTTTGAGGTATCAATAAGATTGGAGATCCAGCATCAATTTCTAGTTTTATTCTAGCTCCTCTCATTGCTTTATCAGTTATCTAAAATAATATTATCATTATTAATAAACATTATTATAAATAATTATAATTATTAAACAGTCTGCCCAGTCTATACCCACTCTACCCCAGTCTAAACAGTCTGCCTAGTCTATACCCACTCTACCCCAGTCTAAACAGTCTGCCTAGTCTATACCCACTCTACCCCAGTCTAAACAGTCTGCCCAGTCTATACCCACTCTACCCCAGTCTAAACAGTCTGCCCAGTCTATACCCACTCTACCCCAGTCTAAACAGTCTGCCTAGTCTATACCCACTCTACCCCAGTCTAAACAGTCTGCCCAGTCTATACCCACTCTACCCCAGTCTAAACAGTCTGCCCAGTCTACCCCACTCTACCCCAGTCTAAACAGTCTGAAGAGTCTACCCCAGTCTAAACAGTCTGCCTAGTCTATACCCACTCTACCCCAGTCTAAACAGTCTGCCCAGTCTATACCAACTCTACCCCAGTCTAAACAGTCTGCCCAGTCTATACCCACTCTACCCCAGTCTAAACAGTCTGCCTAGTCTGACTAATTAGAATAATAACTTACTAGTTTACCAGCGGAGGCGGCTCTCATTCTACCCAGTACGTCCTGTAGTTGTAGGAAATGTTGACAGAAGGCTAGTATTTCAGTTGAGAATCTGTTAGTATGAGTATATCTTACTGACGCCATGTTTAATGTTAAATACACATCATACTCTCTCTGTAGATTATAATCTGGTACACCATGTCTAGAAAATACATACACAATGTATTAAAACAGAACCTGAAACATGTTGTTTCTCAGAGTTCACCCTTCACAGTCTTCATACAAACTGATCTATTTCAGCCTAAGTTCCTACTGATGTTTGACAAGTAGAGACTTCCAGACAACCTGCGTCCCAACTGAAATTTCATTTTAATTCAAAACACACTTATTTGGTGTAACCCCACCCCCAAATAATTCCTAACTTACTTACTTGAAGAAGTCAAGCTGTAGAGCTTGTTTACCACGATTAAAAAACACTGATTGTAGCCCCCCATCCCCAATTAGGATTGTGTATTACCTTCCCCCACCCTGCCTTTTTCCCCACCCTGCCTTTCCCTACTCCACTCTCTATCAGTACTATACATTCTAGTAATACTTACTTGAAGAAATCAAACTGTAGAGCTTGTTTTCCCACTGATATAAATTTCTCCTGGTATAACTCTCCACTTGGTGAATTATCTAACAACGAAAGACTACCTAGTTCACCTTGAGCCCCGAGATTACCATTCCGTTGTTCTATATTAGTATTAAGATAAGTGATATTGGCCCTGGCTAGCTCGTAATCCTTCTTATTTAACACCAGTGTAAAACTTTCCACGCTAAAATTAATCTTAGAATTAACTGGTTCAGCTTCTGTTACTAAAATTAAAAATTAATTCATTATCAACCTAATAAAAAACACAAAATGAAATCTGAAAAACACAGTTAGCTTTGAAATATGCATAGCATACCCTATAAATATGTGGATGAGACCATGACCAGAGGTGTCATCTGCCCATTGCTAGCCATTTTTCTCTAAGATGGACTAGTAAACTAACAACACAGCTTGAATTCTGCATAGTTATAACAGCTTATAATTTTGATGTCTCTACTATGTCACAAATTGTGCTAATAATCTTGGAGCGCAATAACAATATGTCCCTTTCTTGCAGTTTTTGCTGCTATGCAATACTACAGTATTGTTGAATTATGATGTATTCATAGACCACATTCAACATGCATGACATAATTTCCAAATATTGTAATATTATAGTACCCCTGATTTGATATACCATTTACAGTGTTTAAATCATAATTTTCTCATATAACAATTGTGCCCCAAACCCTTGATATGACAAGTGACCAGGGGGGTTATGGAATTGAGACTGATAAAATCTAGGGGTGAAGAGGGAAAAATTAAAATGATAAAAACCTGTTTTGGTGATGAGAGAATCTAACAGTTGATCTTCAGAAGATATATCTGATATTTTGGCTCCCAGACCGAGAAAATCTAATAATACCACCCACGTCTGTAGATTGATTGTTGTTTCTAAACATCGAAATTTGATATCAATAAAACGGTTGGTCTAAAATAAACAATAAATAAACACTAAATAACACAATAAGTTAATTGTCGTGGAGGATATTTCTCTTACAATATCCTAGATTCATTTTAAACTTAACATAGTTTGACCAATCAGATGAAAAGAATGTCTAGAAACAGGCCCCGAGTCTAGAAACAGGCCCTGAGTCTAGGTACAGGCCCTGAGTCTAGAAACAGGCCTTGAGTCTAGAAAAAGGCCCTGAGTCTAGAAAAAGGCCCTGAGTCTAGGAACAGGCCCCGAGTCTAGGAACAGGCCCCGAGTCTAGGAACAGGCCCTGAGTCTAGGTACAGGCCCTGAGTCTAGGTACAGGCCCCGAGTCTAGGTACAGGCCCCGAGTCTAGGTACAGGCCCTGAGTCTAGGTACAGGCCCTGAGTCTAGAAACAGGCCCTGAGTCTAGGTACAGGCCCTGAGTCTAGGTACAGGCCCTGAGTCTAGAAACAGGCCCTGAGTCTAGAAACAGGCCCCGAGTCTAAGTTCAGCCCCTGAGTCTAGAAAAAGGCCCTGAGTCTAGAAAAAGGCCCTGAGTCTAGGAACAGGCCCTGAGTCTAGGTACAGGCCCTGAGTCCACGAACAGGCCCTGAGTCTAGGTACAGGCCCTGAGTCCAGGAAAAGGCCCTGAGTCTAGAAACAGGCCCTGAGTCCAGGAACAGGCCCTGAGTCTAGAAACAGGCCCTGAGTCTAGGTACAGGCCCTGAGTCTAGATACAGGCCCTGAGTCTAGGTACAGGCCCTTATTCTAGAAACAGGCCCTGAATCTAGGTACAGGCCCTGAGTCTAGAAACAGGCCCCGAGTCTAGGTACAGGCCCTGAGTCTAGGTACAGGCCCTGAGTCTAGAAACAGGCCCTGAGTCTAGAAACAGGCCCCAAGTCTAGAAACAGGCCCTAAGTCTAGAAACAGGCCCTCAGTCTAGGTACAGGCCCTGAGTCCAGGAACAGGCCCTGAGTCTAGAAACAGGCCCTGAGTCTAGAAACAGGCCCTGAGTCTAGAAAAAGGCCCTGAGTCTAGGAACAGGCCCTGATTCTAGGTATAGGCCCTGAGTCTAGAAAAAGGCCCTGAGTCTAGGAACAGGCCCTGATTCTAGGTACAGGCCCTGAGTCCAGGAACAGGCCCTGAGTCCAGAAACAGGCCCTGAGTCCAGGAACAGGCCCCGAGTCTAGGTACAGGCCCTGAGTCTAATAAAAGGCCCTGAGTCCAGAAACAGGCCCTGAGTCCAGGAACAGGCCCTGAGTCTAGGTACAGGCCCTGAGTCTAGGTACAGGCCCTGAGTCTAGGTACAGGTCCTGAGTCTAGGAACAGGCCCTGAGTCTAGGTACAGGCCCTGAGTCTAGATACAGGCCCTGAGTCTGACCCTCCTCTAGGCAACTGGCCATTGGAGTCACAGTGTCTAAATCACTTACTGAAATATGAAAATAATCTGTTGGTGCCTGTAAATAGGTGTTGTAAATAGGTGTTGTAAATAGGTGTTGTAAATAGGTGTTGTAAATACATGTCTGAGTTTCTCAGTTAGCTGAAGATGATTGCCTGATTAAAGATTGCTACATAAACAGAGATTGTAGGTCATATAATGGCTACTCTACATAAGATATCCAGCAGTGGATATTGACTCTCGTTCAGTTGAGCTGCCCTGCCAGTCATGTCTGGTAAATAGAGCCAAAACAAATCAAATCAACAGCCCTGCTATCTGGGACATTTGAGCTGCCCTGCCGGTCAAGTCTGGTATATTGAGCCAACTCAACAGCCCTGCTACATACCTTGTTATATTTCTCTATGTACTGAGGTGAGTTTTTATCAACCAGTATAAAATCTATATACACTAAATCATCAGATTCTATAGACGTCTGCTGGGGTGTGTCTGTACCCAGGGGCGAGGGGGGTGGGGTACATGGGTAGATTGACCTGGAAATATATAAAAAATGACCAATATAAAACAACTAAGATATTGTTGGTCATGGTGGGTCAACTAAACATCTTACCATCCATTTGTATTTTAGGTTTGGTATTTTTCAGTTATCTTAAGATTTTTCGTGGAACAGAAAGGTTACTTACGCTTTAGCGCTTTGAGAACGTCCATAAGGAATCCTGGACTGATTTGATGGTTTAGTTGCAGACGGCTTGAAAGCACCAAGTCCTGGATCATCTTTAAAACTACTTGGCAACGAAGAAGGCATTGTGGGTATTGGTGTAACTATGGTGCTATCGGGACAGGAAGTGGATAAAAATGTTTGTTTTGATTCGAATGTTCTGGACGAGTTTCTAGACACCATGATATGTCGATATAAAGAATCTTCATTTTCCAATAAATCCTCCATTGTTAAGGACCTCAGTCGGAACTCAATATTAGTCAGGTGATCGTTATCTTTTTTAAACTTGAGAGAAAAATCGTGAAGTTTTAAATTGGCCACACCTTGTTCCCCGTCACCAAAATCTCCACGTAACTCTGCCTCGAATAACGGCACCTCAAATCGGAAATGTTTCGCTACATATTTCTCCACTTGTTTCTGTTCTGTTTCTGATGAACTCTGGGATAACAACGGACTCGTCATTGAAGCCTCAGACTCAGACGTTGAAGGACAACCTTGATTGGTGTTACTGGAAGTTTTGACTACCTCCTCAGTATAGGCCAGATTATCCAGAGTTTGTAGAAATTGTTCATAAACCTCTTTACACAGTACAACTTTAATTGGTGATTTGATTTTAGCGCTAATGTCAATAATACTGTTAGTTGTTGCCATGGAAACACTATCATTCAGATTTACGGTGATGTCAGCATCTCCTTCAACTTTTGGGTTGATGTAGTTGACTTCTGCACTTTCCTGAGTGACAATGAGGTCCACGGCGGTGTCGTAAATGATCGGGATTCCACGTTCTTGTGATAATAAGGAATAAAAAGACCTTTCACTGATCTCCTGTGATAAATGTGTTCCCAACGGTTTTAGAATTCCCAGTTTTTCCAAATCAGCAGAATAACAGTTCATATTCATCAACGAAACATGGATTTTATCTGTCGGTGCCGTCAAATCTTCGTAACTAAGGCAACAGTCAGGATCTTCAGGATAGTTTGTGATATTCACTTGTCCAAGGTGTGCCAGAAACACATGCGAACTGTTCGGGGCTCGTGGAACAACTATAATCGGTGTTTCCATTTTTGCCACGATTTTTATCACAGACATATTTTGTTCCTCGGCAACCAGACCTTCTCCTTCTTCTAACAGAATTCCTGTCATTTCTGACAGAGAGATATCCCTACGCGTAAAACTAGTACCGGTCATGTCTAGATTATCTCCCCTACCTCCAACTAAACCATACGCCACTTCTTTAGCCGCATATTTTAAAGAATTGGCCACGACAGTCATATAGTCGTGAAAAGCAGACAAACAATTGGCCAGACGGTCCAAAAATTTGGGACAATGAGTGTAACAAACGGACGCCATTTCAAATTTTGCACAAATGATGTCTGTAGTTTTGTTTCCTGCTTCATTTAAATGTGGTTGTTTTTTCACCGATTTAGTAATTGTAAATGAACACGCGTTTTTTGGTGAAATTGTCTCTGGACTGAATATTTTGTCGTCTGTTGCTGTACGGAACATTCCATTTGCTACTGATGAGGGGTTGAAATCTCCAATACTAAAGACTTGACGAAAACGAGACCCGTCCGTGGTAACATCGGATAAATGTAAACCTCCTAATGCTCCTTGTATCTGCCACTCATCACCTGAAAATAAAATAAAATACTTAGGTGTTAGTTATTCTCTACTTAGAAATGAAATGTCATTTTACCTTTCTACTACAGTATGGGCTAATCATGCCTGTAGCTACAGGGGTGGCAGATGGGAGGGGGAGGGGCTATTTCCCCCCTAAAAAAATTCTGACAACCAACCAACTTGATTACTGCAACTAATCCCCATACATCATTGCCCCTTCAGATATATTACTTGCCCCTCTAGATATATCAATTGCCCCTTCGCAGATATTACTTGCCCCTCTGTATATATTACTTGCCCCTCAAGATATATTACTTGCCCCTCTGTATATACTACTTTCCCCTCTGTATATATTACTTGCCCCTCTAGATATATCAATTGCCCCTTCGCAGATATTACTTGCCCCTCTGTATATATTACTTGCCCCTCAAGATATATTACTTGCCCCTCTGTATATACTACTTTCCCCTCTGTATATATTACTTGCCCCTCCAGATATAATACCTTCTCATGATCAATCAAGTCTGGCTATGAGTCTGAAGTTAATGAAATTTTCAATCTAAATACTGTGAACATTGCCTTCATTAAGAAATCATAGCAAAAAAGAGAATATCCCCAATGAGAAACATTACCTAGTCTTATTTTTAGTTTGTCATGTGATCAATTGCTTTTACACACCAATAGAGCTAGTGAACTAACATTTAATTCCTAAATATCTACATTAACTATTATATTTCAAATCTTACCAAAAACAGCCTCCACTTTAGCTGTAGACATTGTAGCCGTGGCTATTTTATGACCAACTTTGAGTCCATTTTCCTCGAGGAATCTGGGAAGAAGAATATTCAGACGGGAGAAATCAGCGTTAACATGTAGGTTACTCTCCTGGAATATATTAAAAACACAAAACGGTCTGCTGAATCTAGAAATAGTAGTAGTCTTGAAACATTTCTGCCTAATTAGGTGCCAATGGCCACAACCCTAGTTACCACCACCTCGCCAATTGTACAGATCATTTGCAAAAACTGTCTTCAGAAGATCCAGGAAACAAACATGACTAAATATATGTCAAAATCTTTCTTCTTATATAGAATTCTAATAGCAATAACTAAATTTCAATATATTCAGGGGTGTTACTAGAAAATGCCTACAGGGTGGGGCCAAAAATGAGAGGTGTGTCTCTCTGATGAGAGGTGTGTCTCTCTGATGAGAGGTGTGTCTCTCTGATGAGAGGTCTAAAGTTGTATATATTTTAATTAAATATCTTAACTCTACAGAATTCTACCACGAAAACTAAATATAGATAGTTGAATATTAACAGAATTTTGAAATGTTCAGCATAATTTGTAGCCTGTTACTTAAAGGGACAGCTGTGCCATTTTTGGGGGTTGATTTGAGTCTTGAATATATGTAAATAGTCTTCAGAAATACTAAAAAAGTACCAAAATCACATAATTCCTTAAAAAATATCTCAAACTAGGAATTTCTTTTCTAATTTCTATAGATGTCTCCGGACGCAGGCTTAATTATAAAGTTCAGGCCACGTATTCTCGAAATGATCTTAACACTAGGATGTCCTAGATTTTTATCTTCTAACGTTGATTCTAGGGCATCCTAGCGTTAAGATCGTGGCCAGTTGTCTGAGGATCGCATAGCGTGAAACAACTTGTTTTTTTCAGTTCTGTTTAAATATTTCCTTGATGTCTTTTTCTATATATGGCAATGTTATAAGAAAAGACGACTTTCTGGACACACATGGATTTGAAGATTCAAATTTTGACAATGAGCTGTAAACACTATTACTTACTGGCTTAGCTAAAAAATTTCTGTATCTGAGACTAAGGTATGATTGGTCAAACAGATGGTGACCCTGTACCTTTAAATCATTATTATTATCTTATTCTAATGAAAAAGTTTGGATACAAAATCTTAGACGACTTGTGAACATAATATGTGAATTTTTTTTGAAAAGCTTCTCTTAAAACAATAGGAAACAGATGATCTTTAAAAATGAACAAATTTGAGAATCCAATAAAATTATTCTACCTTTTTCTGCTCATTATTGTCCATTTTACTAGACGTTTCCTGTCGGTGTAAACTAGGTCTGGTGTTTGATGGATGTCGTGTAGCAGGTTGAGTTGATCTTTTTACAAAACTTATCAATTCTACCAAAGTTTCTTGATTGGCTGAAGAAAAAAAACAAATTATGTTTCATTTCTAGTATGGTTGATGATTGAAAACTATTGAAGAAAATAAAACATTTCCATGGTAACAAAGATAACAACTTAGGTTCATATGGATCCTTTCTACCAGCTGGTCTTGGTAATAATTTTACAATGATAACCACTAAAGTTCATGAGGATCCTGTCTACCGGCTGGTCTTTGGTCAAACCTCTTGGTAATAATTTTACAATGATAACCACTAAAGTTCATGAGGATCCTGTCTACAAGCTGGTCCTTGACTGAAATAGCTTTACAAGGATAACAATTTAGGTTCACAAAGATCTTGTCTACCACTGTTCCTTGATCAAACATCTTGGATCTCTATATTATGTTATCCAGGCTGTCATTGGATAATAAATTACTAACCAATGAGATCCAGGCTATTAAACTGTAAATTTAAAATCTGCATGTCAGTTTGAAGAGAACTATCTGGACGTTCTGATTTGATCACCTCGAATTCTAACGATATCAGAGCTTCGGATTTACTGTTTTTATCTACTAGTAATATATTACTATCTGACGGTTCACGATGGATTGGTAATCTCGGGGTGGCTGAAATATAACATCATACTTTTTATACTAGCATAACAACTTCTTAAAAAATCTTGTCTACCAGTTAGTGTGTGATCAAATCTCTTGACACTCATTTTACAAGGATAACAACTTTCTCAAGGAAACTGTCTATCAGCTGTTCTTTGACCAAACCCATTCTCAGTGAAGCCAGAGATTCAAATTTGAACCACATTTAGATAAGATTTGAACGACTTTGAGATAAGATTTGAACGACTTTTAGATAAGATTTGAACTACATTAAGATAAGATTTGAACGAACAACATTAAGATAAGATTTGAACTACATTAAGATAAGATTTGAATGACTTTAGGATAAGATTTGAAAGACATTAAGACAAGATTTGAACTACATTAAGATAAGATTTGAACTACATTAAGATAAGATTTGAACGAACAACATTAAGATAAGATTTGAACGAACAACATTAAGATAAGATTTGAACGAGATTAAGATAAGATCTGAACTACATTAAGATAAGATTTGAACAACATTAAGATAAGATTTGAACTACATTAAGATAAGATTTGAACTACATTAAGATAAGATTTGAACTACACTAAGATAAGATTTGAACGACTTTAGGATAAGATTTGAACGACATTTAGCTAGAAATGAGTTTTTAGTGATGAATTATAAATGAAACAAAGGAGGCAACATACTAGAAACTTTATTAAACGCTTGAGTTAAAACATCTTGTATGGCGTGAAAACTGTGTGCTGACTGGTTGTCACAAGGGGAGTGAGGTGACTGTGGGGAACTTGGTGATACAGGGTTCGAGCCTCTGATACAACCACTCTGACTGTCTAACCTAAAAAATGAGAATATTGATATCTTTAACAAGTAACTTACAAAAATAACATTTTCTAAAAAAAATTAAATGATTTTTTTTTTAATACTTATGTATATCAGGGACACTGACACTGATAGCATCAATTTGTGTTATTCCAATTTTCAATCAGACTTCTGTGGTTCCTGCAATTCCACTTAAAAATAAATGATTTCACTAATTGCAAAATGTGCTTTATCACAAAAGCCTTAGTTTTAGTTGAATTGAAGGAACCACAGACGTTTGCTTGAAAATTGGAATGGTGCAAATTGATGCTATACACATAAAAAATTTTAGAAAACTTTTTTCAATCCCTTTTACACTAAAAAGAATAACACATTTCATAAAATTGTTTCATTTACGAGTTTAAAGAAGCAGACCATGCTTACTCTTTTCAAAACACCTGTAATACATCTCTTTGGAGGAGTCCATGAACTGTACTGCTGATATTGCCAAACTTTGGACAAACTTTTGATACACGAAATTGTGTGGATTTTGATTTTGAGTATCTACGGATGCTGGCTAGATATTTTGACAGTTGTCAGCTGGTGTAGAGACAGTAAAACTAGGCCTTATATTGTAGGGATTTTCCACACCTCTTTATTTAATTCAGATCTGCCAAACTCAGATATATTTGGAAAGATGGATATTTTTGTAGTTCAGTAATACCACCATTTTCTCCCTACACCATTTATGCCACGTCTCTGGTTCCCTTTTTTTTTAATGAAACTGATCTGTTGTCAGCCATTTAAATCTGTGTGCACATTCAAATTCAAAGGTCACAGTGTCACGTGATACAAACAAAACGAAAGTTATGATGATGCCTAACACTAATTTACAATCATCCTGAATTTAATTTAATATTATGTTAGAAAAAATGCACCTTCGTAGGTGTGGAGAATCCCAATAAACCAAGCCTGGTTTTCCTGACCTTACTCCAGCCCCTTACTATTGCTATCAGAGACTGGGATAGAGGTAGATGTTTCGGACTAACGACATAATTGTCTCGACAATTGAAAATTCACATGCATTAACACTGGTCTAGAAAAATTTTCACTTATTTGAGCTGTCCACTTACATTAGCCTCAGCTAGGTCTTTAGACCCTAAATGAAGTGGCTACATTAAAAATATAAGCTAATAAAAAATGGAACAAAAGTTTGGTCTAATTTCAATTAAACTGCATCTGATTGATTTGAATTCCAACTGAGGCTGAGACAAATGTTTGTTTCATCTCTATGTATACTTACACCAGATTTTTATGAGAGGCTACTAACAGCTCAAAATCAGGACCATAACTCTGTAGTGCGTCCACAATTAATAAACTGTGAACTGTTAAGGCTAGGGAGGTATTTAGTTTTTTATGAGAAAGGTTCGCCTCGACTCCGGTAACTTGTAGCTCTACTAACGCTCGACCTGTAATAAATCATTGTTCAGAAATATTTCAATTGATATATTGGATGACACATTGAGGTTTATGAAAGGGTATGCTTACACTTCTAGACACCTGATATCACTTTTCATTATGAAATACTTACTTATGATAGATAAACTTCCTCATGTGAAAAGTTCATTAGCTACTACCATTGTTTCATCAAAATGTTGTTAATACTTGGTTTACTTAAAGACAAGTTCAGAAATATTTGGGATTTAGGACCCCACACCCTTTCCTTGCTTATCCCAAACTTAGTGTTCCTCACACCAAAGATATCACCAGTTGCCTATGGTTGCCAATAAGAAAAGCAGTCATAAGTTTAAATGTAACTCTCATGCTACTGAGTTGTGAGTTATAATTGAAATTCATGGCCACTTTTATAAGTCATAACCATACAACTTTTACCCTGATATTAACAACTGGTGATCACTATGGTGTGAGGACAGCTTTACCCTGATAATGATAATAACAACTGGTGATCACTATGGTGTGAGGACAACTTTAGCCTGATAACAACAACTGGTAATCACTATGGTGTGAGGACAACTTTACACTGATAATAACAACTGGTGATCACTATAGTGTGAGGACATCTTTACACTGATAATAACAACTGGTGATCACTATGGTGTGAGGATATCTTTACACTGATAATGATAATAACAACTGGTGATCACTATGGTGTGAGGACAACTTTACACTGATAATAACAACTGGTGATCACTATAGTGTGAGGACATCTTTACACTGATAATAACAACTGGTGATCACTATGGTGTGAGGACATCTTTACACTGATAATAACAACTGGTGATCACTATGGTGTGAGGACAGCTTTACACTGATAATAACAACTGGTGATCACTATGGTGTGAGGACAGCTTTACCCTGACTGATAATAACAACTGGTGATCACTATAGTGTGAGGACAACTTTACACTGATAATAACAACTGGTGATCACTATAGTGTGAGGACATCTTTAGACTGATAATAACAACTGGTGATCAATATGGTGTGAGGACATCTTTACACTGATAATAACAACTGGTGATCACTATGGTGTGAGGACAACTTTACACTGATAATAACAACTGGTGATCACTATAGTGTGAGGACATCTTTACCCTGATAATAACAACTAGTGATCACTATGGTGTGAGGACATCTTTACACTGATAATAACAACTGGTGATCACTATGGTGTGATGACATCTTTACACTGATAATAACAACTGGTGATCACTATAGTGTGAGGACAACTTTACCCTGATAATAACAACTGGTGATCACTATGGTGTGAGGACATCTTTACACAGATAATAACAACTGGTGATCACTATAGTGTGAGGACAACTTTACACTGATAATAACAACTGGTGATCACTATAGTGTGAGGACATCTTTAGACTGATAATAACAACTGGTGATCACTATAGTGTGAGGACATCTTTACACTGATAATAACAACTGGTGATCACTATAGTGTGAGGATAATAACAATACGTACCTCGACTCTGCATCTCCAATGATAATTTATTGATAAAAAATCGTAACATGATCAACTTAGAATCAACCAAAGTATCTTCACTTTTCCCCCATCTCTCCTCCGTAGCTCTGAAATATATGTCAAGATATTTCAAACACATAGCTCCATCATTGATATCATCAAAAATAGCTCTATCATTGTTAATATCAAAAATAGCTCAATA